AATTATTGGCACTGCAATCTAGAGTCTTGAATGATTTTAAACTCAGGGGAAAATACTGTTAAAACTACACTAATTATAATAATTAATAAACTATGCAAGAAAATAGATTTTTTTGCGCATTGAAGAACTTTTCCAATAGACAATAGGAGGTGCTATGCAATACTGTATGTGTTAAGACATATTCATTCAGTCATTTTACTATTTAACGTAATCTTACTTTGTGTTAAATTTGAAAAGTTAAATAAAATTAATTTCCCCAGCTTTTGATACATTAGTATTCATATTTATGTCTACACAGTTAACTACAGTACTAATGGTACCACTACTTGTACTAGATTGTTTGACGTGTAAATGTAATTTTGGATTACATTTAATCAATCTGCTATTTATGCAATCAATCCATCATCACATCTGTAAACAAAAGGGTTATTACAAAGCTCATAGTGACATACAATAAAAATGTTTCCCATTTTTGGCTATTCATTACAACGTGATTTTACATGTCTACTCTACAGACGTACAGTATAGAGGGCGTGACATTTTCACTAACGCCCTCGTAAACAAAAACTCCGAAAGCGATTGGTTGCTCATTATGGGACTCCATCAGATTCTGATACAAATTAAACATGGGACAGCCTGCTCCAAGTCCAGGCCAGCTGCGCTGATCAAACCGCTGGAAACACGGGCGCTAACGCACAACTTCAACGGTCACTTTGTAACCTGCTGCAGTCACAAATGAATACACTACAGTACACCTTATACGTAAAAAAAATGCATGAAGATGTCTTACTGTACACCCTTTGACTCCAGATTAGTCAGGCAATTTGTTTTAAATCACGAAAAAGAATTTACCCCGGGTGCGTTTAAGGACAACGTGAAAGAATGCACCTGTTGTATTTTTTTTTGAATAGGTTGCATTTATGGTAACAAAAATACACTTGTGACTATCCTGAAAGCCTAGTCCTTTCGTTTACGACGCGTGACGGATTAACTGAAGTTCTGGGAATTGTGGAATTGTGGAATTCTACAGAAACAAAAATGCTGGGCCTATTTACCGCATTAGTTGAGTAATCAGTTTTATTCTGGACATAAACCTTTAGCATAAATACGAGGATGTTTACAGTGCGCTATAAAACCCACTTTCGCTTTTGGAAAAAACAAAATCTGGTGGATATTTTAACATACGCGTGTGCTTCAATTGTACAATAAACTGGTTACTGTAACATACCGACTGTGGAAACATAAGGCCCTCTCTTTAAAAAACAAACATGTCTTCTAGGATTGCATTAATAAAACAGCGACGTGAGGTCGCACCGGCCGCTGATGTACTGTACAGGGACGGGTTTGCTAATAAAAATAAAAGTATTCCTGATTAAAGAATGCACCTGGTTTTGACATCTTACCCGCTGCCAGCTGCAGTGGTCGCCTTGATGGAGTTGATCCTCAGCCGGTTGGCGATGTTCCTCAGAGTCTGCAGGGTCTGCTGGTCGGGTTTATGATAATCCTCCATGAAGAGACGCTGTCAGAGGCGCTACAGCTGAGGAAACTGGAGACAGAATCACAGAGCGACCGGGAAATCGCTTTGACGCAGAAACTCAGTGGTAATAAGAAGCCACGGTTTGTGTCTGAGAGAGGGCGAGAATGAGCGCAGGCGGGTGTTATGTACTGTAGGGCAATGGAGTTTCCAAAATAGAGGCAACCAACACACCCTCTCTGACTGCAGTGAGCACAGGCAGCGCACAGCAATGCCCTACTAATACACTGGCGGACAGGGGAGGAGCTGACGGACTGTATAATCTAGGCATAACATCTGGGGGCACTGTCTTTCCCAGTCAACAGACCCTGTTTTAAAAGGGCTTTTTTTTTTGTTGTTGCTCGATTTCCAATGTACAGATGACAAGATTTGCGAGGTTAAACCCCCCAAGAACACGAATTAGAAAGGAAAGAACTTCTTCGCAATTCTACCCTAATCTGAAATTATTGCTTTCCATACCTCGCCCATTTCATTTACGGTGTTTTACTGTGAGGGGTTAATGTGGCCGAGGGCGAACCGCTCTTTGAAACTTTCAGGCTGATATCCATGTGGTTAAGGCATCAAAAATATTTTTTTATAAAGTTTATACTTCATTAGTTCATAATTGTTTTTTTTTTAATTTAGCAAAGGAAAAGTCTGTATAATGTTCGAATCTTATAACTCTACAAAGAGCTGAAAAAATCTGTTGTAGACCATTTCGCCTTTTTGATGTCTCGCCTCACACTGAGAGACTGAATAACGCTTCAGCAGGTTCGAAGTTACATACAGTATACTATAGGTAAAGAGGGTAAGAAAATTGAGAATTACAGGGGAGTAGGATACCGTAATTCGCCACCAATTGCTTTACTGATATATCCTCAGTTGTTAAATTCCTTAGCTGAATGTCAGAACAAAAAGCTATAGACCAGGTTATTCACGACTGATTAATCAGTTTTCTGTAGGATGTTATCGGGTTGAGCCACTTTCCTAGTCAAATCTCTTCTTGAAAGTTTTGTCTGAGGTATTGGTTAGGCTACCGGCAAAACGAGTCAGCAAGTCTCGGTGGCTAAAATCCAAAGGCTAAATAGACCTCGGTCACATTCAAGTTCACTGAAAATGACCTAATCTGGGAATATCAGTTTTCAAAATGCTGAATTGTTTACTTTTTTTTCTTTTATAATCATGTAACTGACACTGCTAAATTCGATTTGACATTTAGGTCTCGAAACGACAAACAAGGAATGAGTGCTGGGCAGCTGATCAAGCCCATTTTATTTTAAATTAGATTACCCAGCGATATACCCATTATATATAAAAAAAAGAATGAGACAATTTGGAAAGCAAAAATGCATGTTTACTCGGAGACGCTTCAAGTGTGTGAAACGGGCGCCAGATAGCCGTGACCATGCTGCCCGGGACGTCGTTCCCTCGGTGTGACTGTAGGCGGCACTGTTGCTTCCATTTTTGAAATGACATCAGAACTAAAGGCCTTTCCAGGTCGGTGTACAATAATAATAATAATTAAATAATTGCTCACACTTATATAGCACTTTTCTGGACACTCCACTCAAAGCGCTTCACAGGTAATGGGGATCCCCTCCACCCCCACCAATGTGCAGCCCCACCTGGATGATGCGACGGCAGCCATAGTGCGCCGGAACGCTCACCACACACCAGCTATCAGTGGGGAGGAGAGCAGAGAAATATAGCCAATTGGTAGCTGTTAGTTTGCATAATTTATGCCCGAGCGCGAAACACGAAATGGGTGTAATGACTGAAAAGGAAACACTTCACAATGGGCTTTGCTGAGTGCTGTCTCTCAGAAGTACACAAAAATCTAAGGTTTCAGAGAGCAGTTAACTTGCACATACATTGTATAGAAGCCCTGTTTTTTTTCCAGAACCACCGGTGAGACTCAAAGCTCTTCAGGAATGCTTTACTGAAACCAGGAAACGATTTTATACAATATTCCCAGCATGCGCTTAAGAGCTGGATACATTTTTATTTTTAGTTTGCTCATCTTAACACACTCTTTTCCCATGCCAGTAAATTGCCTTGATTGTAATCCTCAAAGCACTCCTGGCCCTGTTCTGGAAATAGGATTTAGCGGGAAAAGATTAACAAACTTTAATCCAACACTGTTTGAGCTAAAACAGAGTAAGTACCCGAGTCTCTTTCATGATGAACCACCCACGTATATACCACCTGCAGGGTCAGTCAGAACTGACTCTGTACAGAATAGGAAACTGAAAGACAAAAAAAAGTGGTAATTATTGTGGTCAAAGGTTACTGACATTATGCTAAAATTAAGGCAGTGTTTTTTTTTCCCATATGGGAGATTGGCACTGGAAAATCACAGTATTCTGTATACAACCTGAATTATGCATCTGTTTGTTTGCAGAAGCCACATTTCTTTATCTAGAATACTGGATGGCCATTCTTCAGCAGGAGGGAAATGATGCGAAACAGGCTGCAGTCTGATTTATACTTCCATCCTGTTGGACATACAAAAAGCAATCAAGTACGTTTGGCTCAAATATGAGAAACATGAATAAATCGGTTTTTTCTGAAACTAAATGTGAATACAACGTTTAGATGTAAAATTTACTACACAACGACACTACTTGGTTAAATCCTGGTTTACTCCTATAATATTGTTACTTTACAATACTTTTTTTTACCAGACAATGCAATGTAAATACAACTCTGGGAAGGGCATTTGGACTTTGTATTATACGTCATATTGAACATGTAATATACTTTATAACAATGGGCTTTATATTTCTATATTTATATTAAACTGTTTTACATTACTGTAAAACACGTTAGAGATCTGTAGTGCAATAATAAGAACTCGAAGAGTAAGAACCACATAAGTGTCTGCACTGCCACCTAGTGGACATCCATGAGTACCACTTGTGAACTTAACCGGCAGGAATGCGATTTTGTGAAACTCTTTCCAAAGGTCGCTGTGTATTCAATGTGGTTAAAAATTAAAATCACATCCATCTGCCAAACATTGTTTAGATATGTAAATCATATTTATGGCAAACTACGAAGGAACTACAAAAGAGGAAGATGAGGTGTTATCCGAAGGCGGCTTCATTGTCAAAACTTTTTTCAACTTTGGCAAATTTGAACTTGTTCCTAGTATAAACTAGACTGTAAAGACAGGGACGCACTATTTCACAAGTTGAAAACCCACAGTTGAAAGTGCTAACAAATAGCAATAAGCCCTTAGCCAGTACAATGACATCTACAAAGTTTTCATTACATGTAATGTGTAAAACACTGATTTAACCCCCACTACAATCTCACTCTCAAACACTGCAAATTAATTCGCTTATCTCCCGAAACACAGCTGCACTATCTTCTTTGTTGGTAATATTTGTCTTTGTTGTATTGGACTGTGCCATACATCCCACTTCCCACAGTGGTTAAAAAAAGCTTGAATTAAATTCTTTCTGTAACCACTACCAATTAAACATTTTCTTTCTACCCTTTGAATAGATAAAACAAGAAGTTCATGTCAATCTAAATGGCCACATTTAGGGCGAATGTCTTTGACTGGTATAAATTCAAGGAAATTTAATCCAACACAGGGAATTCCCAGGAAATGCGACTGTGCTCCAGCCTCGTACTCAACGTGAAATCTGCTTAAATGATCAATGGAGCACGCTGTATACACGCATGATAAAAAAAGCAAACATTTTAAGAGGTGCTGAAAAACACCAAATTTTATTTTTAAGATAAAAAAATATAATTGTAACTGTACAAAATTGTGACAACAAAATAACCATAATTTACAATGAAACTTACAGACATCTCCCCAAAGGTACAGAATTTTTATTAACCATACCACTGTCAAGGCAAACTGGAAAACAATACTGGTTGAAAATGACAGCTTTTGGCTTAACAACATCTTTCTTTAAAAATAATCCCAAATTTCTTTATAGGATTACAGTACTAGAAAACAAAATACTTGGGTCTTAAATGCAGTGATAAGGAAACAAGAGATTCACATCAGGACAGTAAAATTGACTCTAAAATATTTTAATCTTAAAAAACTTAAATATGGACAGCTGCATTTAAAAGCTACATGCTTCGAACCCGAAAACTGCATCTTTTTAGAAACAGACTTAAAAATAAAGTAAAACTAAACAGCCTTGTCATTTCCTTTACTCCCACATAAAGGCATGTAGTGACCAGAAATGTAATATGCTGTATAACTCTTAAAAATGATCTGGTCTAAATACTTCACATTATGTTGGCAGGTAATTTACTTCTTAGTCTTAAAGCTAATGTCTGTGAAAAATCTGCTTCATTTGTAACATCTTCATTGGCTAAAAGATTAGATCTAGGCTCAAAAGAAAACCATACATTAATGCATCATGTTATTACCCTGCATCATTTAGGAGATGTGGGGGCAGGGGTGGAAAAAAGACATCAAACCCCTAATCATGAATACATTCAACTTCACAATCTGGTTTACGACAGTTTCAGGAACTTATGATCTCAACTGCCCTTCTCAGACGTTTGGAACAGAGTTTCTTCTAGATTAAGAAAGGTATGAAGTTTCTACATCCAAAAGCAAAGATTTATCACTGCACTATTTATCATCGCAATGGCTTCATGTTGTGACTACTGGAAAAAACGTGGTTTGGGTTCTCAGCGACTTTCATCAAAATCATCAAAACAGTCAAATGCAAAATCTTTGCTTCTTGACACTAGTTTTGTCATAGTACATATACACACAGTATCTTTGAAAGGCAAGGGGGGGATTAGAACATACTTTTGTCAATACCAGTTGTAACAGCAACAAAAGTCATTAGCACGAAAGCAGTACATTTTCAGAAATTACTTGGACACAGTCATTGTAATGAAGAAATTTCTATTTTTTATGCACCCACATCTGCTGGACATTTATTGGAATCATTATCAGTTATTTCCACATGCTTGAAAGTGGCCTCTCAAGGTCTTTTAGAACAATCTGTGCACTCAGCCCTCATGGCAAAAGAGGCTGATTTATTGGCCTGAATCAAATGAATTAATCAAGCTTCCATTACCGAAAGGGATTTAAAAAATAAACTTGCCTGGCTCTAGCATGGGGAGTAAGCAAACTACTGATGCGAGAAAATGTTTAATAATGTGATTATTAATCAGCACTGGGGACTAAGCCTTTATTGTTGCTAACGAAATCTCTGTTGAAATACACATTCCTCTTTTACCATCCACTGGTAAAATGACTACGAAAATGTCCAAACTACTGTATTTGCCAGTTTTGATATTTTTAGAAAATGGATGCTGACAGAACCGTTGAGGTGACGGCAAGGATAGCAAAAACAAAATCACCTGTATATGAAAATTTTACATGTCCGATTAGTGTCTTTCACCTGGCGTTCAGCTCACAAGATGTGACTGGGAATGGGTCTTTTAGTTCATAAGGCTGCAATGGAAAATGTACTGGTAAAGAAACCCCAGGGTGAATATGACATTCATTCAAAACTATCCCCATGTTAGGAAATCAACACTTTACTGCAGTAGGTATTTACTGCATGACCAACCACACAAACTGCATTGTCTCCCATGTCTCACAAAAAAGTAATGGGCTATAGTTCAAGCACAAGTAACATACCAATATCCCTCAAAACAGTGTGATAAAGAATGTACTTAAAAATTAATTGCTTCCATTTCATAAACTGACTGACAACTTCAGAATCACACAAAACAGAAAATAACACTTCAATATGTTGTAACTCAACACAAGAGCCATTTTTTTTTCTCTAAGGAAACCCCACTTGTAACAAACCAAAATGTAGTTACAGTTCTTCTGGTTGAATATGCCAGTCTTGTTCCATAGTCATAGAAAGCTAAATATAGATGTTGTTTCTTAAATATATCTCAGTACTGCTACACACTAAAGAGTACCTCAGTATTTTAAATAAGGTTATATTTCTGATTGCAGTTCCAGGAGTTCATAGTCACGCCACATTTTGGAGTCCCACTGGCTATAGCTTAATGTTGTTTAGGTCCTTTGCTAGAACTTGTAGATAGGCTTCATGAATGGTACTGAGGAACTTGGAATCATTCTGTTAAAACAAGAAAGGAAAAATAATTACAACTGTTAGCCCAAATCAGTCTTGATTTAACATCCATCAATCCATCCATCCGTTATCTAACCACTTCTTCCCATTCTGGGTCACAAACACACACGCGCACAAGGGCCAACCTTCCCTGAAGCCCATTAACCTCCCAGCATGTTTTTGGACAGTGGGAGAAAACCAGAGTCCCTGGAGGAAACCCACACAAACGTGGGGAGAACATAAACTCCACACAGACAGCATGGAACCCAGGGTCCCAGCGTTGCGATGCCAACCACTGTGTTATCCTCGATTTAACATTTCCAGACTTTTGCATTTCTATTTACTTTACAAATGAATGTAGTTAAATGAGAACACACAACAGTTATTAACATTAAAGCATCCAACAATAAGGCATTTACAGTGCCCCTTGGATAGCTCAACCCACTGAAGTCGCCTGCCTTAGTGCAGGCTGAGTTCTACGATCCAGAAGCTGGGGTTATATTACTAGCTAACTGTGATCAGGACTCCCCAGTGCTGAAATGTCAGAATCACACAAATGGCGTTTCCAAATTAGATAGGTATATATATATAAAAAAGTAACAACTCTAAATTTCAAAAATATTTATCGCCATATTGGAACAATCTAATGTTTGCCAATAGCAACGCAAAGGTCAGTGAAGGATTTAAGAAATGGAATTTGCTGCCACTGAACTAGAAAGTGTTAAAATAGAAAAGAAAGAAAAGGAACCGAACCTTCAGGAGGTGAATCAAGGCGTCTTGGAGCTGGGTCTTGCTGAACAACGCTGTGGGGAGACTGGTCGGAGGTTCGGCTGTCCCGAGAGTTAATGGAGAGGTAGAGATGAGCTTGATTTCGGTCTCTGTCGGCTTGGCTGCAGCCTGCTGGAACACACTGGGGGACAGGAGGACTGATGGCTCCACTCCAGACACCGCTGAGACAGCCTGCATGGGTACAACCTGCAGGTAAAATACCCAGAGCACTGCTCTCGCTAGCAGAAATACGTCCGTGCTACCAAGACTCTAACTTGATCCTAAGGCCCTGCACTATGCAACATTTGGAAAAGCAAGCTGCAAGCAAAATATGATATCTATGACTTTTATTATGCTTCAAGCTTAAGATGTATTAGTCTCTGAACGGACACTTACTGGTAATGTATTTGATATGCTTTTAGACTGTGCAAAAACATCCACTTCTTTATTTTGCGGAAGAGACTGAAATAGAAAAAAATGCAAGGATTATAGAAAAAGTGTAGGACACCACACCTAAAAAATCTTTCAAGTTTTGAATGGAAAATGTACCTGCCATAAATATCAAATACACATCTGCTATAAAAAAAGGTCCACGATACATTTTGATAAGACTAAAAACAGCCTTTCATCTATGAAACCAATGGCAAAGATGATTCTATTGAGTAAATAGATGACAACAAAGCTAGAATAGAAGAACAGCAGATATAAAATTACCACTACTAAAAAGACAGGGGAAGCAGGCAGATAATGATCACTATCAATAAGTCCTGTGCATCCACACTTTTTTTTTTCCCCTCTCAGTATAAGTTTAACCGAGTACAGAGTGGCCATTTCTATGCTCAGATCAAAGATAAATGCACATCAGCTTCAAGGACTCTTCCGCAGTTTCGTCACGCTCATTTTGCAGGAGCTTCTTCCTCACTTCGGTATTTGGCTTAAGACATCCAAAATCCAGCAAAACAATGACTCATTAAGCTGCACTTGCAGCCTCATGGGCATCGTCAAATGCGATGTCATTAAATTGCTGGTTTTGTTTCAATTGATTGTCACACCTTACTGTTGCCAAAGATTACCTGAATAGGGGCCACTGGCATGCTGTTGAACGCTCCTGGTTTGACCACAGGCTCCTTAAAGCACTCCGGTGTTGCCAGATGGCTGTGGGAAGGCAGGAAACTGGGAGCCAGGGCTGGCTTGTGCAGGACTGGCTGCTGCAGCTGATCTTGCTGTGAGGGCGTCTTGAGCTTGTGGAGGAAGTCCTGGTTGATGAAGCTCATGCCGACGGCATTGCTTCCTGCGGCAGGGGGGCACAGGACAGGCTGAGCGCCCACTTGGGGCGAGGGGTTCAGCGGCTTAGAAGCTGGATGGCACACCAGGAGTGGCGAAGACATGTGGGCCTGCTGCATCCCCATCATCTTGCCGCCATCGGAGCCCCGTTTAGGCAGAGAACAATCCGTGGGGCCAGGGGGGTGAAACACTGGGCTGGACTGGATGTTGTAGTTGGGGATTTTCTTCACATCCGGTACAGGGACGAGCGCTGCAACAGGGTGCATCTGTGTGGATGCCTCGTTCTTGGTAGGGGTGCCCAGGTGGTCACTGCAACCCTCCGCTGTAACTCTGGGCATCAGCACTGGCTCAAAGGGGAAAGGCGGCACAAAGCTATGACTCTGAAGGGAACTATCGGGTGGGCTTGGTTCTGTGGCATTCTGATTGGGGAAACTCATGAGGTTCTGTTCCTTCGGCAAAGAGCTCCCAAACAGCTCCTCGATGGTTATCTGTTTCAGCCCCGGGTGAACAAGCTGAGGACAGAAATTGGAAGACCCAGAAAAAGACATCATTTTAGACAAGCAGGACTTGTGAAAAGAGGGCAAAATTTCATGAAGAAGATTCCTGAAGCAAACAAAATACTAAAAACAAAAAACGACTTCATATAGCTTTAAAAGTAGCATCTCAGAGCGTGTTTTAAGAATTGCAAATCACAAAATAAGCACATACAAGAAAAACAGGAGGTTAGACGTGCAGTAAAAGATACGTGGTCATTAGGAAATGGAGCAGACACGGACTCTAAATAAGTAAAAGCCTTCCTGAAAAAGATTTTGAGTCTAGATTTAAATGCACTCAGGGTAGGCGACTCTCCACTATCCTTGGGGATAGAATTCCAGAGCTTTGGGGCGCAGCTTATAAAGAGCATGGGAGACAAACAGGAGACCGGAGTCAGATGCATGAAGACTGCGAGATGGGGAGCAGACACATAAGCCAGAAAGGTACTGAGGTGCCAAGCCATGCAGAGCCTTACAGGGTACGTGTTCAATTCAAGGTCACATTCTAGGTTTGCAAAATAAAAGAAGGCTGCTTACAAAGAACATTTAATTTAAACCTTTTTTTAGAAACACATCGGTGGGATAACAAATTACTTTGACAGGCTTAGTGATGTGGCGTTTAACTGATGTAAAACCAGTTTAATGGAAACGGGGAAAAAATCCCTTTCATAAAGACTTTTCTATAAAAAATGAAACTGAATATCAGGATACTGAAGTTATCAGATGATGCTGGAGAACACATGGTTAGGTCTCTATGGTATTTGAATTTTAACTTTCTGAAAAGCATTATGACTGACAGTACCTTATCTTGTTGGGATAAAGACTGTAAGTGTTCAGCTGATTCTGCAGTAGATTTAAGTGGCTCACAGTTATGAACAAATTCAGTGCTGGAGGCAACATCTGATTCACCAGCTTGATTCTAAAAAAAGAAAAAAAAAACTTTTAATCTCTTGATTTTAAAAAGTAATAAACATTGCATTCAATTTTAACATTAATGAGTTTAAATGCTAAAACACTGATGTACAACAACCTACAAAGTGGCAGACTGGAGGAAAGAACTGCAAAAGAAATTTAAATTCCTGCATATACTGTACAGTGCTCACAAAGGTATGGGACAACAAACTTATTTCTGCTTTACAGGTAAGCAATTTGTATCGGTGATCATAAAATGAAGATGAATAAACAAGTGCAAAATATTTTTGGGGTTATTTGCATTTGACCACAGAACAAAAATTTGACCCAGTGACTTTCAGAGTGTAAAAGTCATTATATCCCTTTGAGAGAATAACTACATGAAGTCAGTTACTTAAAATAACAGTGTTGACTTCGCTGGTCCAATACTTTTGAAGGGCACTGTAAATAAGGATACTGTACAAAGACTAGATGAAAACGTATGTGAAACAGATTAAATTCCCAAACGTGCATTACTCATCATAACCACAAGAAGGCAGCAGGACAAGATGTGTAGCCTTGTCTGCTATAAACACCAAAGAACTAAAAATAAACTCACATCTCAAAATTAGTTAACTATAGAGCAGTGTACTAAAGTACTAAAATATCTTTATGAAAAAGTGGGAGAGAAGGTAAATTATACACTCTTATCCCAATAAAGTTACCAAGTAAAATTGTAATTTGGTAGAAACAGAACTAATGGACAAAGGTATTGCTGTATATTTTCTCATACTCAAGACAGCTTTAACAGTATTCTCTTAGTACAATGTGAGACATGACAGATAAACCCAATCTGCATTAATGTGCCTACTGTCTTCACCTCCCCTAGTGAAAAGTGCCCTACTTTCCTGCCTTTCCAAATATGTCCTCATTTCAACAACCGCTTTTGTGCTTTCAGGAGAGCTTTTCCATGCATTCTGTCACAATAAATAAAGAGAAATGTGCTTTGTTCCCACACTCAGTCTTAGCTCAGGTGAACCCATCTCAACTTGGGAAGGATATTCTTTTGCCAACAAAAAAAGAAAATAAAGTCATCCTATTAATTACCCAAGTTGTTTTTATTAAAGATCATGATTGTTATTTTATTTCAAATGGACTGTGATTAATCAGAGCCACTGGGAGTTTAAGTGCTTGTCACTGGCACCGCAATGGTGCCCAGTTGGTAAGATCTGGAGTAAGGGAGAGAGGGAGAGACATGTTACAATATTACATTTAATGAGTCACATATTGGTCATTTATGAACTACCCCTAAAATTACACTGCCGTGTAAATTGCATGATGCAAAAACAGGCTTGAAGGGTCAGCCATTCTCACATCTGGGCCTGATGCAGGCAGTGTTGGAGGATTAATCCCAGATTAAATCACTCTAAACTTCCTAAATCCCCTCTCAGTGAGTATGTGTCAGCTACAACCACAGCCAATCGGAAGCTGCCAGACAGAACATAGTATGTAAGGATTACTGTATGATCCATCTGGAATGAACTAGATGGCAAAATGAAACGTGTTCGGAAAGGAAAAAATGTAAAAAGGATGCCGTAATCATTTTTTTATGTACAATTTCAGACATGCACTGAAAGGGTGCACCAAAAATGAGTTTTGCAAAGCCCCATGGACAGGCTAAATACGATTGTTTTTGTTAGGGACAAAATACCTAGTGTAGTGAGACCACAATTACAAGGATTTGCAGCTATAAACAAATCTTAAATCTCCTTTCCCAATCTTACACTTGGCATTGCTTTAAAGCACTGATATAAAACACCGATGTGGTTGGTTTCTTATGACTGGGTTCGACTGAGCTAAAGTTCTCTCTCTGAAAACCCTCTTTCCCAGGAAATTAGGAATTCTTTGTTTTTTTCCCCCGCAAGAAATGTTGTGGAAAACAATAATAAACAGACTGGAAATTAAATAACTTTAAAATACCCAAGAGTGGTAATTAAATAACTAAAACAATAAGAGTTTTTGATAGCCTGTTCTATCCCTAGAGTCCACACCCCTTTGTGCTTTCACATATACAGCCGTTCTAGATTTTAAATAGCCAAAACAACTTTACTCCTAAGCAGCTAAGACACAAATAAGCCATCTAAACTACCAAGTAGGCTATATTCAATATCAGACTGGAAATATGGGGGAAAATGCTGTCAGATGATAGAAGCCACAAGTAAACCAAACCTTTGACATACCCTTTCGTATTCATCCTTTGCTTTACTGAGCATCTCCAGGATGTCAATAGGCCTCTCTTCCGCACTGCCATTGCTCTTACTGGGAATGTTTCCATCAGGGGATGCCTGCTTGGCTCTTTGTATTTCCTGTTTCACCACTCTGCAAAAACACCATACAGACTAAATATTGATTAAAAACGTGACAAATGCTAGAATCTTTCAAACGCACTATAAAGAATACACCAGTGTCACTTGTTGATATCATCTTTAAGGGGAAAACATTAAGCAGTTGGACATTTCGGAATTTAAAAATGGAGATATTGCGTTCCCACCCACTAATATTTTATAGACTTCCTTTTAAAAGAACCCTCTCAAAGCACTTTACAGGAAAAGTAAAAACCAAGATAAGGCGATAAATTTAGCACAAATTAACACGAAAGATTAGTAATGCAGTAGAAGGTGCTAGGAGCAGACAGACACCGGTTATATCAAACTTTCTGAGGACGGTTTTGAGTCTGGATTTGAATGTGCTCCTTGGGGATGGATTTCCAGAGCTCTGGGATGTAGCAAGACAAGGCCCTGTCACCTATGAATGTAAAAAGGCATGAGGGACAAACAGACCAGAATCAAACAAATGAAGGATGTAACGTCGGGAATGAGAAGATGGAGAACACGATAAGGGAGAGTAAGGATACCGAAGTCGATATGAAACTTGACAGGAGGCTAGTGCTAGGACTCCAGGACAGGAGAAAAGTGATCAACTGCATGTGATCTTGTCAGGATGATAGCTGCCGAATTCTGGACTTATTAATGTTTGTTCAATGAATATTTACCAGTGAACAGGACATTGCAGTAACCAATTCTAACAAAGACCAATGTGTTCACCAGCTTTCCTGCTACAGAGACAACATATAGTCTGGTGATATATGTGAGTGGGAAGAATGATGTTTTTACAATATTTTGCACAAGTGGGTCAAACAATATGAACGTCTTGTGGGCAGTTTTACAACCTGTCTACATTAGCTTCAGAAATTACAGTTCATATCTGGGCTGTTGATAACTACCATTCTGATGTAATCAGACACCTCATCTCCATGAGAGAATAGGTGTGATGACCATCTCAAGAGGATAATTTAAAGATGTCTGTTTTAAAATCATCTACAGAAAAAACACTGCCTGCAGATTATAAAATATACATATTGTAATGGCAACAATATTAAGATGGCTTATTTTTCCTTTATCAAAAACAAAGGATATTCAAACTTGTTCCCTAACCTCAGGGTAAATATGGTTACAAAAAATGTATGATTTTCTGCCCAATTGCAATCTGAAGCAATTGTTCTCTTGTGTGCAATTTCCATAGAATATCCTCCCTAATATGGAGGTCAGCAAGTGTGCTTCAGCAAATAGTGATGTGCTTGTAAGACATAAACATTTCCAATGATGCCAAAAATCTACTATATGTTCTGAAACCCATTATAGACCTTGGAGAAAAAAAACCAACCAAGTAAAAGAAAAGATTTCTCACTCTCATTTTCTAATCAGTACAAGACCAAGTGACAATTGCAGACTAAAATAACTGAAGAAAGAAAATCTAGGTTTTACAAAGGAGGCTGGATTCAAAAGCGTAAGTGGCACACTTCCAGTTCATGCAAGTAGTTCACACCTTCTCATTTTTCCTTCATGTGCTTGGTAAAACTGCAAAAAGAGTCGAAAACAAATTGGTCTGACAATTTAAGCCATGCACTCTGTATTGCTTAACAATTTACAAAGCCGCCAGCTTGAGTGGATGATCTCTCTCTCAAGTAAATGGGGTTATAAAATGGGTGCTAGTTTAAGTCTTCTGCTTTCCTTGCAAGTGCACAAATAAAAGGGGAATCAGGATGTTTAGAAGTGAAGCCTTGTAGGGCTGGTAAATGTTGTTTCATCTTGTTTATGGACCCATCAACACGCATCTTTCATAAAACGGCAAGTACAGTTAATTTAATAAAAAATTAAAATCTGTACATATAATAATCTGTTTTCAGATGGTTGGAAAAGTGTTCTGAGGCAGCTCTCCAGCAAATGACCTACTTCTCACTTGATTGTAAAATCTTATGTGTATTTCTTTTATACGAGAATCACAAAGCATCCAAAATCTAGTTCAAGAAAGTCCATTTAAAAGAGCTTGGCTGGATCCAGTGACGAGCACTAGAAACTTACAAAAGGGAACAGGACAAACAATGCTATTTTAAGATGAGATATCTATTAATTGACCAGGTGGCGGATCAAGAAATCAAATGTTTCCCATTTTTTTGGAAAACTGTTTAACATTCTTTAAAGGAACACCAGCATATTGAAATCTTGAACAAAAACATCTCTTGATACCAATAGGCATTTTGACCAAAAAAAAGCCTTTTATATAAGTGAATAAAGGCAAAATTTAATATCCCAACTTGAAAACATACACAATTAGACAAGATTTGGAAAAAATACTTTAAAACTGGCTCTCCCATATTACATAAGGCTTTTCTGTTAATCCACACACAACACTTGCCTCTCCAGTTAGATCAAAGGCAAAGCCTGTCCTGTTTTTATATCTAGTGACTACTACTCTTAACCTTGCACATATTATCAGTGTTAATGCCAGCTGTTACTTAGGGCAATTTTTCAGGCAACGCACATTCTCTTCTTGTTACTCCATTTCCTTAACTTGGTACTCAGATAATAAACAGGCATAGCGTTTACCCAAGTATGGGTACATGCAAACCCTGAACAAGCTTTCTTCTCAAAATAAAAACGAAATTGCCCATACACATAGATCCTCCCTGACCTCCATCTTTGCCGAGTGGCTCATCACGGTTGGGATAAACCAGCCAAGTGAAACACTCACACTTGCGACTTCCCTGGTGGCCACAGCCCCACCATGGTGTCAGCGACGGACGCGCTTCTCCTTCAATCGGTGTTGAAAATATAGGCTTTCATAAAGTTTCCCACGAATTGATCACCATGTAACAAGGGCCAGACCTACTGCGCTTTTAACAGTCTACACTGCAAAGCAGATCATGAACACTCTTCCTCCAGCTGCCTAAAGTCATAACCCTGCCATTCTGGGCTGGGTTACCTCTGTACATACTCTGTCGTGGGTCAAGAAATGGGCCCTATTGTAACGGAAGGGTTTTCTAAGGGACAGTGTCTGTGTGCCACTAGCTTGTGCCAATCCAGGTCATGAGCCCTAAGTAGCTCCCCCTACCCTTCCTGAAGGTCACCGTGTCACTTTCAGTTCCAGTATTACACAATAACTCTTTCATCTGCAGTGTTTGTGACAAAAACATACCCACGGCCAACCTGTAGGTTCCACAGTGCACGATAATTAAAATCATCATAAAAAGTAATTTGCATTAGGATGATAAATGATTAATGCAAAGAATTATGATTGTGCTGCAAGGTCTATTTGAAAACCTGTGGCATGACGCTTTCTGGGTGACTCTTTAGAATAATTTACGTAGGAGTATATCTTCTGAAAGGTGCCCAAAACACTTGTTACCATAAGAAATGCATATCGGGGAATCCAGACATGCACGCTTGTTAGGCTAATTAAACCTTTTTTTTTTTTTACAGAGAGGTGTAGTTGACTCTATAATTCAGTTAGAATGTTGTGCCTACAAATAAATAGGTTTATTATCAACTAAACATGAGGAATACAGAATTAGAATAAGGAACAACATTGCAAGAAAGGTAAAATATGACATACTTACTGTGACATAAGCTGAGCTATTCGTTGACAGTCATTCTTGTCATAAAACCAGATGCTGTAAATGGACACTGTGGGAGGAAGGAACAGAGACGTTAAACCAATATTAGGTGTGGAGCACATTTCCTGCAGACTTCACAGGAAGGTCCAAGCCTGATGGCAAATAACTGCAAGTGCAGCTTTGATTCAAGGCTTCATCAGTGAACCACTAACTACTGGAATCTGAACCACCATTAATTAGCAGTTCTCCACTGGGAACAGCCAGAGGTATAGTGGCACAGAAAATCTGGCAATGGCTAAATATGGAGAAATATAAACATGTTTTAACTGGAAGAGATCTCCTCCTTTAAAAATATCAACGGGAAGCTGTTTTAGGCAAATTATGTTACACTGCTTTGAACAAAATACAGTACCTAAGTGTCTAAATGCACCAGATGCACCAGAACAAGTGGACCACCACACTCCCTAACAGAAGAAAAAGAATGTTCCTAGTTAACTAAGCCAATGGCAGGATTCAGCACTTTGACCAGATCAATCAAAGCAATAACTCCTGGTATTAAAAACTGTACTGAATCCCTTCTGGGGGTGGGGAGTTAAATATAGAACTCGGCCCACCAATTATGAGTAGCAAGCTACTGGGTTTTAAAACCCTGTTAAAGGATTTGTCTTAAACGTTTCAAGTGCTGGACAGACCCCTAAATATGGACGAGACAAGGTTTACTTAAAAGATATAAAAAACACCATAACTAAAGAGACTCTTCTCAAAACCTCATTTTTTCCCCAATGAAAAAATAGACTACAAAGCCCTGTATACTCTTACAACATTAAAATACACAAACTGCCAGATTCTCTTTAATGTCCAAGTTACTGCACAGTGATGATTGAGAAAACAAAAACTCTCAAACTTAGGAAATGAGGGAGGTTTGTGGCTTTAACAACCCCTATTTTTAGAACTCAATGAAAAATACTGTAAAATTAAATTACTTTTGATGGCTTCCTTCTGAGTTCTTAAGGTCAAGACTTGGAGGTTCAAAACATGGAGGAGTAAGTGATTTATAACTACCAGAACAATATTCCTTCAAATGCAAAAGAAAACGAAGCTGTAATGAAGAAAGAGGCTGGAGCCCAGACCATCAGACCACATTTCTTTCAGTATCACTAAAGAGGGGAAAACACTGACCTATTCTCCTAGGGTTTAAATGCAATACGCCACAAAGAGGCTTTTGCGTGTTGAGGGATAATCATTTGATGAAAAAATCAACTCTAAAGGCAAAAGGATTTGTTTCCTGAAAAATAAACAAAAATCCAGAAAGATTTATACAGTTAAGTCAATGCTCCTTCTATTGTTAATCCTGCATGTTATATTCTACATCAGGAGGAAAGAAATCCATTGTACACCCTCTTATCGCCAAACCTTAACACTACACCCTGCCAACCGCACAACACTTTAGGAATGAGATTAAAACAAAGGTAAATGTTCCCTTTCTTAAGAGGAAAAAAAGTGCACATTTTTCAAATGCAAAAACGGATTGATCACGATTGGATCACCAAAATCCAGATGACCCAAATTTAATGCTAAAATGGTTTCAGCAAATCACTCTCAAAATACAAATAAAGGAGTCAATGGCTTTTTTTGGAATACATTAAGATGTGCTCATCTTCAACCGATGTTAAGAGGGATATCATGATTGTAAAAGCTGAACCTTTTCTTTGAAAGATATAGTCCATGTAAAGATACCCCACAGCTTTAATGGCAGCCTAATGGGCAAAAAAGATAAGGAAACCACTCAGTTCCCTCACAAACATGCTAGCAGGAAGCCATAAATGCACGCGAATCAGCTCTGTCTGCCGAATGTATCTGATTGTTTTCTTTGTGTTTCTGGCGAGGAGTCACAAGGAGTTCCCATTAAGGTCTATCATTGTCGCTCAAGAGGATCCACAGAGCAGGAAACACTTCGCTTACCGGAGCGCACAGCTAGAAATGACAAGCCTTCACGCTAAAGTAAACATCACTATGTTTGTGCACAAGGGCAAACAGGTCTCCAACACAAGGGGAAAGAGGGTGTCATTTGCCCCCAAAGACTTAGTTACTAGGTCAGCAAAATCGGCAGCTCAGTAAAGGTGGCCACTCTGAAAACACTTATCTCGTGGAACAACAAGCATAAAAATAGCCTCAAGACAAGGAGCGCACTGGCATTTAGCAGTATGCTTTTGCATCACTGCACAATAAAATCTTCATTTCCCTGCTATGGCCAGACACAAACCCACCTGTTACAGCCTCTGCTGTGCAGACAAATTGTTGCCATCTCCATTCCAAAAATAAATAAAAAATACTTTTAAAAGCGTTGTCCTTTCCAGAGCAATCTGAGCAAGACTACTCTGCCAAGCTCCCTTTAAATTCCCAATCACCATGAAGAATCATTCTGCCATGGAATAAAGAAACTGGTATTTCTTCAAATATGACAAATGCTCATCAGTGTATGTAACTGCAACTGATTACAAAGAACGCAGTAGCCCCATCAAAATAACCCTCCCGTAATTTACATTTCTGGATCTAGGGGATGATGGCAAAAGATCTAGACATATCCTTAGACTGCTACGGTGATAAACTTCACGCTTGAGTGTATGGACCGGCAGACAGAATGAACAGCGAGACAGACATGGGATCTGAAATTACTAGGATTATTTAAGAAAGCAAACAAGCACTTCTGCATCGGCAGTGCTCACAGAGGGGAAAAAAACGGATGACAAAGGAGGACAAGGAGCAAATTTTGTGCTTAAGAGCAGTGTTGATTTCGAGGTGTTGACGGACTTGAGCGAGTGCTGGGCGCACAAGCTCAACAAGGAGCTGGTACATCCAATCAAACGGAAAGCATATCTCCAGGGTCTCTCTCAGTGCGCATTTGTCAGGGGTCTGGAGGGCTAGGGGGGCAACAGCTTTTTAATTATTTTTAAAGTATTATCCTAAAACTAACAAGGCAATTGGGTTCAAGGTTAATTGCATCTCGCATCCCTGTCCTGCCTCACACAAATCTGGTGCGACAGTTTGTGGTTCACAGACAAGAGAAAGCAGGCATTGGTATGCATATTCACCACTCCTGTAACTATAGTTACTGCGGAGCCATAAATACATCATTAGGGAAGAATAGACAGCCCTGCAAAACGTGAACTGCATTTTCTCATGAGTGACTCAAAAATCTCAGCTGTGAAAGCCTCACTGACAATGAAATTCCCCTCTTCCCCTCAAAGCAGTGCATGTGCATTTCAAAGCATCTGCTGTAGCACCAAACACAGCTGCCAACTTGCTATAGAATTGTTTCTTTACAGTAGCAAAAAATGTAGTATACTTTTTCGTCCCTGGAAGTACAAAGGTTCTCTCTGCCAGCCCACGTATATAAAAACGACTGCACTGATATGCTGAGGTGGAAACCTCAAAAGACGTTGTCTATCACAAAGGCTCGTTATGCAACACAACCCCATGCTGACATTTTAAAAGAGAGACACCAGGTCCTGAAATGGATTAAGGAAAACATGCTCAGCAGGCATGATTTAGATCAAAGTAAAAAGTGTTTCCTTAAACTTAAGCCCAAATGAGAAGTAAAGTAACTGTAAAGTAACAGGTAAAGGTTCATTCCATGCTGAAAGGAAAATAAAAGAAACAACATTTTGGCTGTGAAGCCCTTTTCATGTGTGATGGAGAGAGGGTAGAGAAGACCCAAAGAGAGCAGGTAAGAAGGGACAGTGAGCAGTGGAGAAACAGGCATGAAGCAGGTGATAGTGAGAGTCCAGACTCGGGGAGAATGGGAGGAAAGGTGAGGAGAGCCGACATCTGCAGATGAATAGAGAAGATTTAGAAGGAGATTAACATGGAACATGAGTGACATGGGAAGATGCAACCCAAGTTTAAAAATATTTTTGGTTTTGGATGTCCTTCTGCAACAAGAGTTCTGAAGTCCCTATGTCAGGACGTAGACAGAAAGATCAGTGACTGTAAGATCTTGGCCGTTAAGAGTTGAAATGGGGAACTATCGGTTTGGTGATATGCTTGATTCTCAAAGCTCTGACATATTCCCTGAAATGGTCAGGCAGGCTTCTTCATGTCTCGCCAATGTAAATGGCTGGGCATTTTCTATTTTTCAACATAAATGTAACTGTCCTGCACCCAGTGAATACTACTTACTTTAACCTCCTTGTTGTAGCATTCTGCATTCTTTCCAAGCCTTCCTGCAATGATAGCCTAAGGTGAGGAACCATCAAGCAGTCACAACCTGAAGAAACCTATTTTGTATGGAGGCAGCCCACACAAGAGGCCACATGCTACCCTAGCACTGCCTCTTACTTCTTCAATGCCTGGTCACTGCAGAGAGGAGCACTGATAGGGCAATGCAGTACATGCAGTCACTGGCACTTTCCACAACCAGGGCATACTGAACACTTTCCACATCAAGAACTGTAAAACCCAAATTGAAGAAAAATCTCTCTATTTCACAAAAACCAGACATTTTGAAATACACTACAGACACAATGAAATATACCTATATCTGTACCCATTAAATGCTTCCAGCAATAAATGCTACAGCTGGGAAGTAAAAAATAGAAAAACACTCTGCTGATTTACTATATATTTAGGCATCTATGCTTGCTACACTACCTGGATTAGCTCAGGCAAGTCACTGCTATTAAAGTCCTTTCTTAAACAGCAGAATGACTCAGTAGCTATTTCATATTCAACACCCACACTGATGCACAGTTGCTTGCAGGAATAAACTAAGTGCATCCATTCAACTGACACTGTTCAGAGAAGCTTCATAGACTTCCCAAGATAAGGGGGAAGGGAAGTGGTGGACCTATTCTCAGGTTCTCCAACAAAATAAGCAAAAAGCCAAATGGAAAGATTTTTTTAATGTTTTTACTAAGGTTAAAAAACAAAACAGTAAAATTGTTACAACTATTGTAGGTAATTACTGCAATCAGCCAGATCATTGTCATCAAACCCACAGTTACAATAAAGAACATAATTTTAATGTGCTAAGGGTTTAAATAAGTGGAAATTACTCTAAACAACTAATTATCTTATTGTTTTCCGAGGAAGTATTTTTAAAATAAAAGTAAAGCTGTGAATCATAAGAAACGGAGGGGATTCGGTTCAGAGCGTATCTGTAAATTCTGCCAATGATGTGTGTTATCAAGCTTATCTATTTTTGGAGTCTCAGATCCTAGCAACGATGGAGTACTATGTGCTAATGAATTTACCTGGGGACTTGCTGAGGTTTTCAGAGCAAGCCAACACTGATCTCCTGTTCCCCTCATCAGCAGCAGGCAGTGACAGCACCGTCCCTAACACGTCTCCGACTGATAAGCAAAGCTGCTGTTTGTCAAAGCCAAAGTATGTCCTCTATCAGAAAAAAAGCATTGAGTACTTTTGGTAATGGAAACGACTCTGTATAAAAGTTTTTAAAAAAAACATTCCCAGAGGCTTTAGCCAGGCCCCTGTTGCTGAATCTTATATATTCTTCGCCGGTGATCGGTGGCGAGACATGACAGGGTGACAACAGCATTAGTAGCACTGCTCAAGTAAGCAGTGTGCAAATCTGGAGGCAGAACACTTCTCGGCAGGAGTCTGAGAACTCGAAAGCTTCTCAATTAGTTATTCTGCACTGCTCTTTAAATGAAATGGTAAATAACATCTACATACATAAGAGATTTAAGTAATATCTATAACACATGGCTCCAAAGTTAAGGATTTTTTGCATTCTTCCTACTCTGTTCACCTGTTTTGCCTCTTCACATCAAACCGAGTCGAGCGCTTTGCTGTGCATCGTGGAGCCCCAAGGACATACTCTGCTTTCTGTTGCAATCTACTGCTTGGGCTCCCTCTTCCTCGTTACCTACCGCTTACCTCTAGGTAAATGTGAGCCCTTGGACGGACAACAGGAGAGACAAGACACTTCGCCTCTCATTTGGTTAGGAGAGATTCTTTTTTTGCACTAATGCCATTCTCCTTAGGCTGCGGAAATGAATTTCTCGCATCTCTCCAAGGAGCACACTTTGATCAGAAAACCTCTGTATCAGGAGCCAGACCTTAAACATAAAGGGAAGGTAATAAGCGAAATGGATTTGGAAACTTACCTTTTTAATGCAGTTCGAGGTAAGACAGATTTTTATTACTTTTAAGAAATGGGAGACTGTGTACAAATTCATTTGGGTGTGCTGATGTGCTGCAGGCTTAAGAAATAAAAGAGCTTACTAGCAGAAACAAGCAGAAATTATTCCATTTGCCAACGCAAGTAGTTCAGACGGCAGTGTGTATGGTATTGGGCTGATCATGCAGACTTCTCAGCCTCTAAACGTGCCAAGCACAGATTCTTAAGACAGTAGGGTATGTAATCAATGTGCACTGCAATAAACTATCTAGGCATTTTACAGTAGTATGCAATTGTGGACTCCATTAAATTATATCGCTCAAATTTAACAACCATATCAAGAAATATTAGAAAAATTGTATTTGAAAGAGAACAGAAATAATGGAATATCCAGTAGTCCCTAAAGACAGTTACAATCCTTAACTGTGTACTTCAGCAGTTACCTTATTCTGAATCCATCATTCAAGGTTTGCTATTACGGTATTAATATCAAGTTGTATCACTTAATAAAATGATTAATAACACAAACAAGTGTGCAAAATACATTATATTAATCACAGAAAGCCTCAGAAAAGTTGCCTTTGACATCAAATAGCCTCAAGAGGAGAAATCCCACTATAGTCATAGGTTAATTTTCAAAAACCAAATTAAGTAAAAGAGGGTCATATCCAGCATTATAAAAACAAATACATTTTCTTCCATGCAAGTGCCTACTCCCCTTAAACTGTGTTAAAGTGATACTAAACCAATACGTAGCTTTTCACCCCCACTTACGACTTGTTGTTGGAAGAAAAAGTGAGAAGAAAGTTTTTGTGTGATGAAAAAGTTTCAAGTCAATCACCATAGCGCGTCCCAAGACAGCAGTATCTTTAATTTTCAAAACAAAATGGCCATGAAAAACGCCATGAGTTAAACAGGAACCCCAGTTCACATTATGTTAACTGTATGGTCACTAAAATGGTATTTGCCAGGCCTGGAATTCATCGGCCAAACAGGTTTTACTTAAGTTTTGTTCGCAACATGGGATAAAAAAATAAAACAATTACAGTCAAATAGCAGGCAGCTTAATGCAGAAATCACATCTCGCTATATTGTAGTTTCATTACCGTTAGAATAGAAGTGAACTAGCCAAATGCTTATTGAGGAAGAGCATGCATCCTTACAAGACATGTTTTGCCAAGAAGGTGGTGCCTTGGTTTGGGCTTATGAAGTATTGCTGCACTGTATTGTGAGCTGTCTAATGCAGGTTTGCGTGCGACGAAGTTCTCCAAGTTTCACATCAATTAGTACACTTAGATTTCCCAAGTTAGTGGTGTTTTACAAACAAAACAGCAGATGTGCAGCCATTATGTTGTGCAATCCATTTTGCCATGTGTGTACAAGTATTGCTCGAACATCTAGAGCGTGGAGTAAGTCAAACATTCCTGGAACACTTTATACAAGAGCTGCTCCAAAAAGCTGATAAGATGATATTATGGAAAAAATCGAGCAACCTCTGATGTACAGATAGACAACTGGGAAAACACAATGGCCATCTCGGTACACACAGGAACAGTAGCGCGTCACGTGGTAATAGTCTGATCATTATGTAGAGAGCACGTCTGGAGCTAACTGGCCACCATGATTTTCAACAGCAAACGTTAGTGTTATGGGCCAAGTAACAACAATAAAGACAAAGAAAAGAAAAAGTAACCAGTTGGACATCTTGGTTTGCACAAGTGCCTCAATTACACACACATTTAGTGCTTCAATTTGATTCTGGCAGTTTTTACAAAGACTACATGAACTGATGTGGGCAAATAAAAATGAGCAACTTTCAGGTGCAAACTTGAAACAGCTTTGGCTACTGAGAAAATGTGTATTTTCACTACAATTGGTGCGGCATTTCATTACGTTTTAAAAGGATTTGCAGAGAGCTGGGTCAAGGCCATCATTGCGTTCGATGCAGAAACCTAATTACATCAGAAACTTAATGGTACCCAGTATAACTCTCCAGCACGGTGTTTCTCAGCTGCCAGACCTCCAAACACGAGTTTAAAAAGAGAAGAAAAGAAAAACTTTAGAACCTACAGAGGTTCCATTACTTAGAAGCTTGGTTCCATGTTCCTTCTCATCCAGGGGTAGACAGAATAAAAGTCAGATGCCATAAAAAATAAAAAGAACTGTTTTCATTGAACTGCTGAACATTAGTCATATATATATAATTGCGTTCAAAGGCTTTACGGTTTATTCAAAATGCAATTAATATGATTATACAAAGCAAAATACAACTGCATGAGAAAAATGTATAAAATCCCATGCATGCAAATCATAACAAAAACATAAGTAAAAAAATCTAGCTGATAAAAGATTCAGTTTGTGATTGGCTACTATTTAACACGAAAGCCTTGTGTTTTGCAGAAATTACCGTCACAAAAGCATAGCTTTCCCTTTTACCATGTCAAATGGGATTTAGCATTGGGGGGGTAAGTTAGTAAAGAAAGCTTTCAAAATATTTCCTTTTATAGAAGTAAGATATCAAGTGAGACTTGAGAAGCTCCAGTGACTACTCAGAAATTCCACCAACACTGGACGGTTATCTAGTCTTGCTCCACTCAGGGTATAGTTTAAAGTAGAAAATGTTTTATGAACATCTGATTTTACTAGATAAAGTAAGAGAAGAAAATACATTTCAATTCTAAAACCCTCCGGTACAATAATCAACTGATCTAAAACATGGTAAACAGCTCTGGTCTGGTAGTGATAGTGTGTCCGACAGTGAATAATTCAAGAAGTCTATAGAGTAATAACACTGGCAGTGGTAGATTCTATGATTAATCTGTCAATGCAATGTCTTATTCGGCCAAATACACTGCTCACTGCCTGCCCAGCACTTTATCCACATCGGTATGACATTCTAGGCATCAACTTCACCACTCCTTTGGAAACAAACAGGGAAACCTCCACATGTGAATACAGTCAAACATTTTCACAGTACAAATCAAATAAACGTGAAAAATACAATTTCACACATAAACCACAGCAAAAAGACAAGTTTTGTGCTGGATGGCATCTTCTTCATGTGCACCCTATTCATAACTTCAAATATGGACCTGCATGTTCACTATCAAACTCCTGGCTTCAAAATAGAACCGAACTCAACACTGACCAGGCCATCCACAGCACATAACCAAGGCAATCAGATGATCCAAGGCTTCCTATTCGTCCCCACTCACTCATGTTAATGTTGAAAAGTGCACCAATCTCTCAGTGATTTATGAGAAAAGCACAATTATGAATTTTATGAGACCCTCCCACCCATTTTCTTCATCTGCTGCCTCCAGCTATACTTGTATTATCAATGCCCACGGTCTTCAGAATGAAAAGTTCAACAGTTATTCTAGTCCAGAACATACTTGAGGAAGAAGCAGTTTCTCCAGGAAAATGCAACTTGGCAGGCAGCAAAAACAGACCAAGGAGAGCACCCAACAGGCGAGTGATACACATCACCAGACGGGTGCTGCTCAAGTGAAGGATGCACATTTACAGAAACTACGGATTTCTGCTGTATTGTGCAGTTGGCCCCTGGAGACAACACTGCACTTCATTAAGACAGCTTGTGCTCAAGTGCTAAGGAAGTGAATCCACA